TGGATGCACAACAAACTTATGGGTTGACATTCCTTAGGCAGCAGCATGTGAAGGTTACCCTTGACATGCAGCAAATGCTATTTACCGCGACGGGAAACATTTTACAGCTACAAATCCAAAATGCTGAGGCGGAAGAAGGAAGCCGAGCAATCCTCAAGCAACTTCAGGAATCAGTAGACCTGCTCAAGCAGAACCTCGCGGACCGGAAACTGGAGAACGGCATAAGAACCAGCAAATCGTTGCTAGATCCAAGATCAATGATACAATTTCAGGCGACTCTTGTCCGAGAGTGTCCATCCACTTGCAACTGCAACTGCCACCACTTTAAACACTCACGCTCCCCAACATGGCTTGCCACTTTGATAGGCAACCTATTCCTTCAGTACAACACCATTCCCGTTTTTAAGCGCCCTACATGCGATAAACTGGTCTGCACTGCAAAGTCTCTACCTTCTGTGAGACTATACTACGCCTTCCCCCAATGGCTTGTAGCCCGATCTATCGAGCTCAATGTCTCGTGGTCGAGCCTGTTTGGACCAGGTTCATCGCTTCATATCCGGGTCCCCCGGGTTTTATTGTCGCATCCAATATGGAGAGCCATTCAATTTGGTGATATTCACTGGGTTCGGAACGGTTTAGCTAATAAGTCCGTTCTTCCAACAGACGTTGACCGTTGGGGACGTTCACTTGCTACAGTATGTATAGTATAGTCCCTGCCCTTGCCGACAATATCATATCTAATTTGAACGACAGATTGCTCTACACAACCACCAATATGAATTGGCAAAGCTATTCGCGCAGCAGGGCTGTGATATACATTCGAAGGATATTTTTGGGCAGTAAGGGGCTACTTCAAAGAATATCAAGATATCATAACTAAACTTATATAAGGACAGCAGCATCGACAGCCAAATTGATGCAGTCTATAAGCTATTATTCTCCTGACATAATTCAGAAGATGGATGCTCACAAGAATCTCTTAGCGGAGTTCTCATTACGACAACATATGCGGGAGACCGTGCAATCCTCGAAAATCCACCAAGCTATTATACAAGATGAAGATGAGTCTTTTTCGGCATTTATTAACGTAGACTCGATAGAGGTCAACCAGCTTGACGGTTTTGGATTCGCTCCGTTACATTGGGCCACTTATCGACGCAAAAGCAAAATTGTACGGGCCCTCTTAGAAGCCGGAGCAGCTCCTAACATCAGGTCTACAAAGGGAGATGCCCCTCTTTCTATCGCAGCAAAATCCCATGACGTCGATTCGGTCCGGCTCCTCCTAGAATTCGGCGCAGACGTTAACTTGCCAAATCCATTTACCGGGTACACGGCTATTTTTGCAGCATACCGACATACAGAAATATCACGTTTACTATTGGACTACGGCGCACACCTTGGAAGAGAAACTATTAATGGACTACAAACCCCTTTATATTATGCAGCTCAAGAATCTTATGACCGCAAGCCCAACAGCGAAGATCGATCTTTATGGGCCGAGTGGTTCCAGTGTCTTCTCAGTGCAGGTCTCGACATCGACAACCAATCAGGCACACATGCCATGGCTCCTATAATGTTATCATTATGGAACCGGAATACTATTCTGCTTGAATTGCTCATCGACGCGGGTGCCCGACTCGATCTCATAGATTCCAAGCAAAGAGGCATACTACACTACGCGGTATTGTCAACAACGACTGAGTCAATCGAGATTCTCCGCAGAGCCAAAATAAGCAGCATTAATCCCGATCTACCCGACGCGGAAGGGGAAACACCCCTCATGTGGCTTGCTTCCCGTATGTATGCTTCAGATGAAAATCTCGCGGCCGGGGAACGCAGAGTGACTACAGATGAGTTCTGGGCGTTTAAGAGTCTTGTCGACGAAATCCGCGAGCGGAACAAGGAAAAAAGACAATTCAATCTAATGGCTGAGGAACGCAATGAAAGTGCCTCTGAGATTGACGTCGGTATAGAGATAGACTCTGACGGAGATGATAGTGTTGTAGGTTGGTGGGGTGGTAGCCGTGTAATTCGAGCAAGATCTACCAGCAGCGGATGCGATGAATTCCTCGACTTTGAAGACTGAGTTTAATGAAACAGCAGTTTCTCTTCGACACGATAACGTGGATAGCCAGGGTTCACACGCTCTCCTTTATCCGGAGTATTCAGCCGGTCCGTATTTAAGTCACGCATTTTTGAGTCTAGAACTTCAAGTATATTCCGTTGATTAAAGAAACACTTAGGCGTACTACTACAGCTACCTGAGTAGCGTGAGCGTAAGTTCATAGTCATAGTGAGCACCACGTCCTACTCGCCTCTATAGCTATTATGTTATCTTTTGCGACGCGATTCTTGCTATTCAAAAAGAACTTGAGGGCTTTTGCTTGCGCATGGCATCGTGTTTACTGTCACTCGTCTCGATTAGGTAAGCCGTAGTTGCCGACCTCACAGGGGTGACGCGCCCTGACGCGGTAATAAGCTATATGTCGGGCGCACTTCTCTCGATGGCCATATTGCTTCTTGCTTTTCTTTAGAATGGTTAATTGGTGCGAATCCACTCATAAAGTAGATAAGATACCTCAATGGCATGATACTAGTGAGGACTTCAAACGTTCAACCATACAAAATGTGCTCTTCTTGATGGTGAATGGTAACCGGTAATTAATCTCCGTGCTTACTCAACGCAGGATTATCTATGTTAATGTTTCCTAGTGGCGTAGCAACCTCGAATTTAGTGGCCAGAATCACCAACTGTGAATCTACATATTATTACATTGAACTTGCCAGCTATTTGTTCTTCACTCATTCAAAAATATGGCTCGGTTTACAATGCGAATGTATTCGTACATCGCATCGTTGGTGTTTTCCGTTACTCTCGGGGCCCAGCTGACACCCCTTGGGCGCTCTCAGGAAATCACGAACTGGACTGAATGTCCTGAAGGCTCAAGTCCGATCGTAAAATGTGCCAATGTGTCTGTTCCGTTAGATCACGAAGAGCCCAACGGCGAGCAGATCACCCTCACTCTTGCTCGCATCAAGACCAACAGCTCTCAGCCACTTGGCACACTATTCTTCAACCCCGGAGGGCCAGGAGGATCTGCCGTTGATAATGTCTACTTCATATCGAGGCTTCCTTCATCCTCTCTTTACCAAATTACCCAGAGGTATGATCTGGTAGGCATTGATCCACGCGGTGCAGGTTACAGCACACCAATGCGCTGCAATCCTGATCTGTGGAACGAACGTGTCAAAACAGCGGTGACGGATGAAGTAGAATTCAAGGCGCTCGTACAGCATTATAAGGCTATCGGTGAAAGCTGCGCCAACATGACCGGGCCGCTGATTCATCACCTTGATACCGTCAGTGTTGCTAAGGATCATGAGGTAGTTCGTCAAATCTTGGGAGCTGATAAATTCAACTTCATCGGTCTTTCTTGGGGCACTCAGATCGGAATCGCCTACGCAGAATTGTTTCCTGGGACAGTCGGTCGGATGGCCATTCAAGGAATTGTCGATCATTCTGAAGCCGCCACTACAGCCGTTCAGACCATGTCAACGGGATATGAGGCGACCATGCATAAGTTCTTCGATTGGTGCCAAGCCAACGAAACATGTGCCCTTCATGGCCAAGATCCCCGCGCTGTATTAGAAAGCGTAGTTGCGAAAGCACATGAAAATCCTATCCCGGCGCCTGGCTGCCTGCAAACTGGTCCTGGAGCTTGCTTCGCAGACGTGAGCGATGAGGAGCTGCTTACAAATGCACAAGTACTATTAGCATCCGCACCGCCAAAGCTGTCTGGCTGGTCTTCTCTAGCTAGGGGTCTATTATCCGCTTCGCAAGGTGATGCTACGTTGTTTTCGAACCCTTATTTCACCGCCAACACCGACGTCGACTTCACAACCGCGTGGGCTAATTTGGGCACCGGCTGCCAGGACTGGGCACATCCAGCAAAATCATATCAAGACGTTCTAAATCTCGCTCGCCAAACCGCAGCACTTTCTCCGTTTACTAGGGGCTTCGGTCAATCTTTTCAGTGGTTCACCATGTGCATTGGTTGGCCGACCGCTTTGACCAACCCTCCCCGCAAGATATATGACACCATCGCCAAAGCCCCTGAAATATTGATGGCAAACTCTTACTGGGATTCCGAGACGAGCGTACAGTGGGCTGTCGGTGTGAGAGCTCAAATCCCAAATTCGAGGCTTATATACCAGAACGGAAGCGGTCATGCGATTTATGCAACGAATGGGGATACTGCCGCTGCTATCAATCGCTTCATTCTTGATGGTGTTATGCCAGATGACGGAGCGGTATATAATTCTTAAACATACGTAATTAGTTATTCCTAGAAAATTGCAGACTATCGTCGTGGGAAATATGAGCACTGTGGATCGTATCGTGGTGGCATATACTGATCTACTCACAATTAGCTTTTAGCTTGATCTGATGCTATTTGATTTTATTTGTAGAAAGCTTGAATCGCTTCAGGTTAGCTGTATTGCCACGGCGCTTAGGCAACAAGTAGCTATATGAGAGATAGAACTTGATGGATTCTTCGAAGGACAGAGTCCCATGAATATCCATTATCTGAGGCTCAAGTTGGGCAAACCTAACTACTATCTCTACCCATAATAGTTTATGTGGCTAGTTGTGAATATGGAACATAGCTGCTTGTTCGGGTAATTTAAATGATAAGTTAATCCCATTGGTCGAGTTGCATTGTACTGATAGTGCGGTACTTAGCCCATTTTATCTTTATAATTACAGGCAAATTATACTAAGGAACCGTATATAAAAACATATTTATGATAAAGTATACTTCAAAGGGAGATGAAGCACACCTATTTAAAGTTGTGTCTGTAAAAATGGTATTGAGTAATGGAAACTATCAAGTCTCTCGCTTAGCTCGACCTGTAACAGGATATACCTTGACAATTAGCAGCACAATTCTCCAACGAGTAGCACCAGCTGCCCAGGTAACGAATTACCAAGAAATGCCTGCCCGGTTAGCTCAATCGGTAGAGCGTGAGACTCTTAATCTCAAGGTTGCGGGTGAGTACTACGTCCGTGCGAAAAATTCTCGTGCATCAAAATGCTAACCCTGCCCTATAGGTTCGACCCCCGCATTGGGCTCAATTCCTAATGCCTCCCAGTACCAACTGGGAGTAGCAACCAAACAGCTTTTTTTTATTCTTTTACATAATGTTGGATTTAATTAAACGCCTCTGTATTTTTTTTTTTATTTTTTTGCATAATACAGAACGGGGGCCGTTAACTCGTCCGAAACCAACATTTAGTAAAGTTTCAATTTAGTCAAGTCGACGCGCTCGCAAGTTGGATTGTGTGGCTTCCCATATGTAATCCAGGACAGCGTAAGTCCGCTGACTGTGTACCTCGTCTGCCAGCAAATAGCCCAACCATCTGTGAATTTGTCAGTCATCAAGTTACCAAACCAACCCTTCAAGCGACTCACAAAGATCAACCGAGGTCTCACTTCCTGGCTTCCCCACGACCGCCGTTGAGTCATCGTGCTGAGAGAACACGAAGGCCTTTCCGTCCTTGCCAAAACTTAGGAAATTCACGTTGTACGGGTTGGCGCCAGAGCCGAGCTCCAACAGCGCAACATTCGTATCAGCGAAGTATGTCCAGAACATCGCTTTTCCTTTATATAGATTGGTCGCATTGCTAGCAGTGATATCCGTGACCAAGAAGCCAAAATCAGAATCGTCATCGGTGAAAGCATCAGCTGAGTTGTTCAAGTAGAAGCGGTATGACGAGTTGCCGGCCAGGGGCGCAGAAATAGGGTCATAGTGTAGCACAGAGACTCCAGCGTCCGGATCATGGTCCGTCTCAAATTCGTGAACGGCGTAGAGGTACCCTGCATTCGTCAGCAAAGCGTCTCCTATGTGTTGAGACTCGTGGTGAAGCTCTCACCGTCAATCGAGCTGTTGCTGCTTTGGCCCTTGACGTGTATTGCGTACGGGCCCTCGGATTTCAGAGGGGGATAATCGTCGATCTGGGCAAGGGCTCCCATGGCGGCGAGGAGGCCGAATAATGCAGCAGTCACCTTCATGGTAGAGTAGAGGCAGGCTGGTGTTGGTAGTAAGAGGTTGCTGGTTGCAAGGAACTATAAACACGATATTTGACTTGCTGTCTTTCGAAACCCTAACGACATGTTGTAAAGCATAATATATATAGAGATGCACGCAATTCTGCTGCCTTCGGAAGGCCTTTCTACCTTCCTCACTTTACATAATCCTTTCCAGGCTGCCATTTAAGAGTGAACTATTTGACTAACAAATGATTTTGATCGACAGATATTTTGATTGACGATCTTGGCTCTTCAACCCAAATATAGACCGTATAAATGTCCGTGCCGTATACTAGCATACCAATGCCCTGTGGACCCCTATCAGAAGTGGGTTGGCAAATACACCACACACCATTATACACCCAACCTCACCCACTTTGAAAACGAACAGGTAGAACAACCAGCTAAAATTGGAAAAACTGAAATCGAGGTATTACAGTATAAAAAGAGTCGGTGGAATAAACTTATACTAATACTTTGCATAAAGGTTAAATTAAACGCCTTATAGCACGACCTTACAGTAGATAAGGGTTAACTATTATGACAGTGTGTGGTTTACGCGACCGCAGGTAAGCAGCAGTATACCATTTCACTAAGTCTCATCGTCAACACAACAGGATTCTGGTGTGGGCCTTAGACTTTGGTAGCAGGACACATCACATTGAGGGCACTGGAAAGATCGAATGGGTGTTTCGATATCACAACAACAAGCAAGAAGGCCTGAGGAGGATGTTATCACAACGCTAGAGCTAGATTAAATCAGATAATATGAATTAGCTGATTAGGTGGTCTCTTGTCAGGGTACCTCACTACAGCTGTTTACTGATTATCTCCTCGATAGTGTCAAACCGTCACGCAAACGTCGAGTTCAACGGCCCGAATCGGAAATTGCTGAAGACGACACGATCATTTGCTTGGCCATTTCTAACTTCTTCTACTTTTCCCGAGTCTGGGCTGCAGGGCCCTCGCGATACGCCAGGTGATAAAGGGTCCTGATCCGAAGGATATGTCGAGTCAAGCCAAAGCATATTTGCGTAATCCTACGCAGTTACACCTCGATTAGTACTATTATCTTGTCTACTACTTAAGCAAAGACTACTCACATCGTGCCAAATGGATATACTCAAGACCATTCCTTTGGATAGAGCCTCGCCCATCTTCTCCAGACCACCTTGGAGATTGAAATAGTCAGGGTCCTTGAAGACTTTCTTCTGAGAGACACAGAACGCGTCGTTGATAGAGTTACCATCAACGCTGGGGATGGACGAGTCTGTATTGGCAATCGTTTGGCCCCCTTGCTGATATAGTCGTCGTATTGACGCGAGCTTTCCATCATCTCCCTTCATGAATTGCGTGATAACCGTGAATTTGTTATTTGTATCAATCAACTTTCCAGGCCCATAGAAATTCCTATTTCCTTGGCGGTACGGATTGAAGTCACAACCGTCAGCGTCACACTCCCCATCGTAGCGAGAATCGGCGACTGGGTATTTCCCACTGCAGTCTAAGGCTTCACATTCTTCTTGCGTTGTTCTCTGACACGGATGGGCTGCCATCGACGTCGCCATTTTGTTGGCGGCTATAGACCTGCATTAGTTTCCTAACACATGCGTTGAATGGCGATGGGGGGTACCAAGGGGTCCAACTAGCATCATTTTCTGGAAATCCTTACACCATATTGCCATCTGGGGACAGCAAGAACCTAAGCCCCCATATCCTTTCTCTCTATCGTTATTGGAGAGAATCCAATTTTCCGAGTTTCCTTTACCGTTAATGAATCTGAGGTCGCGAGGGCAATTTGCATCACAATATCCAGCACCGTATTGGGCACCTGCCTTATTCCCAGTATACTGAGACAGTCCTCCGTCTTCATCCATTGACTGAATGTAAGTAGACTTGTCAGCACCGGATTTGTTCTGTGGAAGGACATCTCCCCCCGTCTAGGTCCTTACGACGAAGTTAAGAGCGGCGTTCAATCCGCACCCAACTTGGGACAAGTCAACGTCAAACGAGAACTCTTTCCCAAGAAGAGTAAACATCTGGTACTTCTCAGGCCCGTTCATTAGGAAGAGACGTGACCCGGTGTTGGAAGCTGGTGATAACCACATGTTACACGTGCGTTCTCCCAAGTTTCATAGACAGACTTACAAAACTCAAAGTAAGTACCGTACTTCATTGTCAGCACATCACTGCTTGTTGCTACCCCATAAACTTGCTGGTACTGGCCTCCGTCAACGGCGCAGTTCTCTGCACACGTCCTACCGTCGGGGCATAAGGTCGAATTCCACTCTGCGTATGCGATACAATTAGACCAGCTACCCTCTGTCTTGTCATGAGCCCATCGCCAATTCGCGTCGATGGTGAGTTCTCCTTGCACTGCTTCGCAAGCGCTAGGACCCGAACTTGAACATTGCTTCCAAATCAACTTTGGGTGCTCTTCGAGTTCCCATGTTCCTATGCTCTGAGCTTTCACATACGTGGCAGCTACCATAACAGCGGAGTAGACTGTTGGATACATGCCAAACATTGTAGAATGATACCAGTACTGAATAATATTGGTAGTAAAGAACTAGCCTAGCATCCTAACTCTTCGTTGGTCGATCATAGGGCTGCGAGACCCTTTTATCAATATAATTTTGGAGATATAGTGTATCATCGAACTCCAGCTTCTATCTGAAAGGGGAGTTCGGATGAAGGAGTCCTTTTCCAAAATGGGATACGTGGTCATCTTCTTGGCAGCACTGCGCGCTTCGTATATGTTTGAGCCCATCTACAAATGACATGCTTTCGGCTCGAGATTCCACCCCTTACACCACCAGGACAAATCGGCTCATATATTCTATCTGAACTTCACAAGAATCAATGTATAGTCAATTTCCGCCCAATATGTATCGTACATAAAATTGGTCTAGGAACTACTAGTCCGCATACGGACCTATATGATCTATTTTGGTGTGGTCATCTTGCTACTATGCACTCCGCCCCTTGACTCATCATACCACTAGGGTAAAAACTGAGGTGATTGCTCGGTATGGTCTGAAAATACGGTATCATGAAAGTAATCGACGTTAGAGATGTTCGAAAGCTGGACGTAACCCCTACGACATCCCAACTTTTATTCTACTGCTCTAGCCTTTTTATGTTTGATTAATACAGGATCTAGGACAACGGGGACAAAATAGCTAGTCCCACTTCCTTGAAGCCCTCAGAAACCGGACCTACGGATATGTCGAAGTTTCGATACAGCAAAGCCAGCGTGATATAAATCTCCGCAAATGCAGGGTTCTGCCATATATAGCTTCGTAACCCTTTGGGGAAGGTGACGAGATACGAATCAAAGTGCTTCCCATCTTCACGGAACCAGGGATCAGGTTTAAGTCCCTTTGCATTTGCTCCCAAGATATCTTCATTGGTATGATGGTTTAGGCTAACATACCCACGGTCGTGCCAGGCGGTACCACCTTGCCATCGACGATTAGTAGCTCAGGATTTTTTCCTGGCACAGCGAGTAGTTTCTACTTCAGACACATAAAAGGCTGTAAGAATGCTAATGACGGGAACAAAGCAAAGAATAGATTTAAAAGGCACCTTGAAATGAATCTGGTTAAGAAAAGCTATTGACCTATTCAACGTTTTTGTAACCCAATAAAATAAAAACGTTTAAAATGATATACACATTAATAAAAATTAACATGTAACAATGGAACCTTTGCCCTCGTTTCTAACGGAATGAGTTTACGAATGGAGTGAAACGAGGGTTAACTATAGTCTGTAATTTTTCGCTGGCATTTCTGTGGCCCAATTAAAAAATGCCTCCTTCCTATTTGGGAAGAGGGCTTGGCGCCAAGGCTGCCGACCTGCCCGCCACCCGTACGGCCAGGGACCCCCCCCTGATCCACCTGCCCACCTGCCGGCAGACCTGACTGCCAGCCGACCTGCCAGTCGACCTGCCAACCAACCTGCCAACCAACCTGCCCTGCCA